CAGGAGTGTGGCTGGGGGTCTTCGCAGCTGCTTGCTGCTCTGAAGATGATCTCTCACTGGCACACGTACACAATAGCTTAAAGAAGCAGATGTTACCTGAAGATGAGAATTTTCTCCCCCCACATATCTCCCTGAGCATGCCAAAGACAGACACTGCATAGGGCGAGCAGTCAAATGAACGTGGCTAGGATCTTGGGCATTCTTCTAAGCTTCTGCTATCCAGTTTGAAAATGGGAAGTTTTACTTAGCTGAGTAAAAGCACTATAATAAACCTTCGGTGTCAACATTTAAGTAACTGCCAAAAAGCCACATTTGCAAAGGCCTTGCAGAATTCACCCTCAATATGGGAAATGTAACAAGGCAAGCCAGAATATTCTACTGCCCCTTGCTATTCTCAAAAACCTTTCCCATGCAATCTTTCCAAAAGGTCAGACTTAACCCAATCTTCAACACAGAATTTTCTTTGTTTCAGGGCAGGAGGAGAGGGAAGGAGTAAAATCTTCCAATAAATGCACTGCTATGTTTGCTAACCATATGCTGTACCTGTTGCAACTGGAACCCTGCCTTTGATTTTTTTTTTTAAGTATTCATTCATTATTTTTCCCCTGTACACTAAAGCTGAGCTCACAAATATCTATTGAATATCATCTACATGAATAACTGCAAAACTTAATAGCCATGAATGTACGTGCTTGCTGAACCTGTGCTCTATGCAGGCAAGGCTTGGAAGAAAAAATGATCTGTTACATAGCTTCTGTAATCAGTAAGCCTGATAAAACTTAGTAGCATAAAGCACTATCTACATCACCTGCCATGCACATTTTCCATAAATGTGTATACTGAAAAGTGGTGTATCAGTATGTTTTAAAAATATACTTATTTCAGTTCCTAACTCCCCTAAGGGGAGATTTAAAGCCTACTTACAGACGTCTTGATAACTATTAAATTTGAAATCAGGAGTAACTGTGAAGGTCCTAATGCTCTGCCACCTATGAAACGCTGCTTCATTTGAAAACTGAAGAAGCATCATGTGCTTAATCGTCTGAAATGTTTTTCCCCCTTTAGAAGATTATGAGTTTCACTCCTGGGTGTGGAGTTGGCTGGGGGGGGAGATGCTGGCAGGGTGTGGGAGTCCCTCGGGCTGCTACCTGGAGCCCTCCCAGTCTCAGAGCAGCCACAGGAGGGGACGTGATGATTAACTGATCGATTATTGCTGGCATTCAGAAGAAAGGGAACTCCCTCCTACCTCATCTGTACCACATAAAACACCTACTCTCAAAAAAACTTGCAAGCTATTTTAATGGGAAAAAAGAGAGCAGCCAGAGGAAAAGGTCATGGCAACGCTCGCCTCCTGCAGCCGGCCATACCTGTCACACCAGGTGAAAAATGCCAAGCTAGGACAAGTCTGAAACACTATCATCCTTACCTCACTTCTCAGCTCACAAAGAGTGCTCACAGCAGGCATCAACCTACCACGAACCTTCGTAGCCATCATGTCCAGCACAAAAAAATACCCACCCTTCAACCTTCCCTCTGCTCTTTGCCATTGTGTCATATTCTTCTGTCAGCCTCTCGCTGCCAGGGGAGCAGAGTCTGGCTGTTGTGTGAGGCGTTGATCTCCAGCTCACAGGCTGCACAAACAAGCAGCCACAGGTGTGACGAAGTGATGTAGCTGATGCAGGCCCCTGTGCACCATGTGCCTCACCCTGTGCCACTTAAGAGGCAGCCCAAATCCTGACTAACCTATACAGGCTCACAGCTCGAGTATGCAAGTGTGACACCGAGGTATACAAGTGTGACACCTCACAGCTTTCCAGAAGTCCACTGGAGAAGGGGGTGGCAAAGGCAAACAGGAATTACTGCTCTTTCTTTTGCAGGGGAGAGCTGGGCAGAAAAATATTCAAAATCAAATAAAACCCTGTGCACCCACCCTGAGGCACTCAAGACACAGCAGCTCCCTCCCCGATTTAAAAGGGAAATGACTACAGTGGAAGATACATACTACTATGTCATGTTGTTTAACAGCAACTCACATGTATTTTATTGTTCAGTTATTCCAGGTTTGCCAATGCTAGTAATTGTGCAATGCCTTTCAGTAATTTCTTGCCCTGCTGTTGAGCCACTCCTCCCTTTGGGACGCTTGAGGCATAACCTCAGTTGGTGAAATGAAATACAATAGCTTTACTCAGAACTCAACATGCCATCCACAGCTGCAATATTAGTGGCCTGGCTCTCCCAGATGAAAAAAGCCATGTGAGGCAGCTGTGCCTCCAGCCCACGCTGTACTGTACACACATGCACACCCAGTAACAGGCTCCAGCGCAGAAGCAGATAGACTTCATTGAACATCTTGCCAACCACCCAAGAGCACCAAGGGAGGGCTTTCAAAAGCATCTTTCATTAATGAACTTGTTCAGGTAAGAGGAGCAACCCTGCTCATTGCTTCTTTTCACCTTGCACTAGTGACTGTACAGAAAAAAATTTGTGTGTGTTAGACATATGCAAATACGCACACGGTTAGAGATGTTCATATAGAAAGCATTATTTATTTATTTATGGGCACAGTCACATAGAAGAGATGGCACACAGAAGAATAATCCAG